CACCACTACCACCTCACCTACTCCACTAAACCTAACCCACTACACCACTACCACCTCACCTACTCCACTAAACCTAACCCACTACACCACTACCACCTCACCTACTCCACTAAACCTAACCCACTACACCACTACCACCTCACCTACTCCACTAAACCTAACCCACTACACCACTACCACCTCACCTACTCCACTAAACCTAACCCACTACACCACTACCACCTCACCTACTCCACTAAACCTAACCCACTACACCACTACCACCTCACCTACTCCACTAAACCTAACCCACTACACCACTACCACCTCACCTACTCCACTAAACCTAACCCACTACACCACTACCACCTCACCTACTCCACTAAACCTAACCCACTACACCACTACCACCTCACCTACTCCACTAAACCTAACCCACTACACCACTACCACCTCACCTACTCCACTAAACCTAACCCACTACACCACTACCACCTCACCTACTCCACTAAACCTAACCCACTACACCACTACCACCTCACCTACTCCACTAAACCTAACCCACTACACCACTACCACCTCACCTACTCCACTAAACCTAACCCACTACACCACTACCACCTCACCTACTCCACTAAACCTAACCCACTACACCACTACCACCTCACCTACTCCACTAAACCTAACCCACTACACCACTACCACCTCACCTACTCCACTAAACCTAACCCACTACACCACTACCACCTCACCTACTCCACTAAACCTAACCCACTACACCACTACCACCTCACCTACTCCACTAAACCTAACCCACTACACCACTACCACCTCACCTACTCCACTAAACCTAACCCACTACACCACTACCACCTCACCTACTCCACTAAACCTAACCCACTACACCACTACCACCTCACCTACTCCACTAAACCTAACCCACTACACCACTACCACCTCACCTACTCCACTAAACCTAACCCACTACACCACTACCACCTCACCTACTCCACTAAACGTTACAGAGTGTCTCTCTCAGAAATCTCTCTCAGAAAACAAAGAGTTTTTTCAGAGTTTTTCTAGCAGTTTTTTGTCTCTGCTTCCAAGCCTCAGCCTCCGCTTCGGTTTATAAAGACCATGACAAAGAGGCCGACACGCGTTCTGTCGGTCACGTGCATCGCCGCGTGTCAGGCGCCCCTTTTGATGGCTCGACGCTTTCTGTCGGGCACGTCTTTTGATGAAGTGGGCGCGCCTTTTGATGGCACGCCTTTTGACAGATTGGGCACACCTTTTGAGGGTGCGACTTTTCATGGGTCCGACAAGACTTTGTAAACTGTCCCGACATTGATTTCGGTTAGTTTCTACAAGGGTCCAGCAAGACTCCGTAAACTGTCACAACAACTATCTCAACATTGTCAGCTACAACGGTCCGACATGACCCCGTAAACTGTCTTCTACAACGGTCTGACACGACCACACAATGTCTGCTACAACGGTCCGACATGACCCCGTAAACTGTCTGCTACAACGGTCCGACACGACCATACAGTGTCTCCTATCCCATTTTTAATTTTATTTGTCAGTGTATTTTCTTGTTTTGTTACTCTCTCCAAACTCAAGTTGGTTAGTTCCTATCCTCCTTGAGTTTGCGGGGGGCTGTTAAAATCCACTTCACCTCTCCACCTACTTCACCCACTTAAACCTACTCCACTAAACCTAACCCACTACACCACTACCACCTCACCTACTCCACTAAACCTAACCCACTACACCACTACCACCTCCACTTCACCTACTCCTTACCTACTACACACTCACCCTCTTCTATATATAGGAATCATGAATCATTGTAATAAATATAACAAATCAATATACAATCAATCAATAATACAATTCTCTATTTCTCTTTATACATTAAATTTCTTCAGATTGGATACTTGTAGTGCAGCTAGAGATCAGATTTCCTACTTTGTATGCTAACTAATTCGTGTAAGGATTTAATTTGACCTGTGCGTTTATTGCTTGATTTTGTAACAAATGTTGGAGAGTATTTGTGTTTATTAAAAATAGGAGATATCCATGTAATTCATATTGAAAAAAAGATATGCACAGATGTTAAATTTGATAGGATGTGGTCTATCTTTAAGACAAAATGTCGACATATTATTTGTCCCCTTAGAGTGAAATGGAATGCTTATGTATTGATGACTTTCACCATTTTGAGAAAGGAGGTCTTATCGAAATATGTAACATGGTTGTTTCTTATGAGGCAAAGGCAATCTGTTATTTAAGGTGACACAACTGCAAGTCTACATGTTATTTGTCACTTTTACAATGAAGTGGAATGCTTATGGTTGGAACTATTTCATATGATTTAATCCAGTATGAATTATTGTTTTTTCTATGGATTGTAAGGCATATTTATCAGCATTGGAAAACATTGGTAGCAAGAGATGTGTCCTTTACTGTTTTTTTAGAAATTTGTGCTGCAAAACATTCTAAATAATAGTATGTGGAATTTATTTGATCAAAAGAAAGGTGATAGTATGATTGCTCATACTTACAGTCTCACTTAATAGTCTCTGATATATCCTTAACTAGTAGTGGGTCAGCCAGCTGGACACCTTTTGTCAGGAACCAATGTTAAAATGCTTTCATTTGGGCATACAAAAGGCAAGTTAAGTGAGTGAATTTCCTTATGGCAAGATCAACTCCTCCCAACCCTTTTGGGCTCTGCCTGTTGGTATAGAAACTTATGTGCCCTTTTCAAAGATCATTTTCCATACCCTTGTAAAATATTATTATATTATGTATAAAAAATTTGGTCATCAATTCTTGAGAACTTATGGTGAGGATGTTTTATTGAGCCTAACAATACTTTTTTTTAACCCCTTTTAAAATAACAAATTTTCATTTTCTTCTGCCTTTGCAAATGATACATAAGTCCAAACTTAAACAAAACTTACGTTTCGAGTGTGGTGTTACTTGTTTTTAGGCTTATCACATTTTTTTGGTTCTATAAATATTTCTCTACTTATTTAAAATAATTTGACCAAATGTAAATAAATGGTTTGATTTGATATTTTTCTGTTCATTTATTTAAGATTAGATTTGATTTCTGTGCATGGACATTAGCTGGTAATTTTTTTGATTGGTTGAATATGTTATGTGAAAACTGAAAAGAAGGGGACAGAATAGGGAGAATCAGCATCCTGGTGAAACGAAATCATAGCACTAACGTTGAAATTATACAAATGAGCATGAATTTCTAACCACTTGATTGAAATCTTACTCTACTTCTATTGCTTCCTACTACGAAATTCTATGATTGCCAATTTGCCATACAGTTAAAATAACAAAACATCATACGTATAAAAAATAAATAAATAAATAAATAACATAACATCATGCTTTCCTTGATTCTGGTATTCAGTTTTTAAATTATCTTGGTTTTTGTTAAAAGGTTGTTCTTTTTATACGTTAGAAGGAACCAGAGTCTTGCATAAATGCTATTCCCTATACTTTTAGACTGACGTACCATTTGGCACTGTTTTCTTTGTATTTAGACATGGTGTCATTGGATATCTCTGCCCATTTCTGTAGTGTTTTGCATAATTGATTTGGATTGCACTATTTCACTATGATTTTCATTTTGTCTCCCCTTCCCACTACCAGAGCTGGTAATATTTTCTGGCTTGTTCTGGCAGAGGAAGAGTACTGTTTGTTCTTATCCATGTTTGTTAAATTAGACATCATTTACAAACAATAGAAGTTTAAGCAAACAAGAGCTAGTTTTGTAATATATATAAGATCTGTCATTGTTCTCTGTTAAATATTCTACTTAGGACTTAACAATAAAATCAAGCCTTGTCTGACAACCAATTGGGGTCAGCTACATTGATACTCAGATACTTTCATCTTGTAGGAGAATCTATAGTACATTCTATATAACAGGTCCAATAGTGATGATCTTATGTCTTTAAGTTGAGCTTTATCTGCAAGACTGAATTTCTTTTGCTTACTGTTATTAGTATTGGATTGGAGGCACTGTGCTATTGGAGGCATTACAGTGCCAGGCAATGATGTGAGTGGTAAAACTTTAAATATTCGATCAAATATCCTTCTTTTGGTCTTAAAAAAAATTATGTGCCCCAAAGTGTGGAAAGGGAGAGAGAGGAGTTTAGCAGATCTTGTAGTCTGCAATTTTTAAGGCCTATACTATTTGGTAAAAAGTGGATAAAAATAAAGGGTTTCTTGAGGATTCACTATATGAACAAACAAAAGATATGTTGCACAGAAAAACATGGTGATTATATTGGGCTGCTTTTATTTCGTGGAAAAAAACCATGCTCTATGGTTTGGATTGTTGGTAGGCCATGTTGTTGAAATTGCATTTTAGTGATATTTTTGCTGGTATATCTGAAAGTGACAATCCCTCACCATCTCCCCACCAAACCAAGTGAAAAAAAATTTAAAAAAGGGAAAAGGGGTTGTCATCCTTCTTTCTTTCTTTCTTTTCTTTTCTTTTCTTCTTCTTCTTCTTCTTCTTCTTCTTCTTCTTCTTTTTTTTTTTTTTTTTTTAAGGATAGATATAGAGAACCTTTTTATCTTCATTGAGTGTATATGGTGGTTGTCAATTTGTACTCTTGTTTCTTAAGCACAACAGTAAGTGTGCTATATACTAGCTCTCCCAGTTCTTTTTTGTTTGTTTGTTTGTTTATTTTATTTTTTTAAAGAGATGTTATCTCATACTGTTAACTGTAGGTAATCGATTTTATTACATGCTAGATATGGTTTAGTTCCATAACTTTTCTCTTGAATGTAGACTCAGCTGGACAAGAGAAATGCTTGTTCTGTTCGATAAAATGAATGGTTGCATTTGTTCCTTTCTGCACTGACTATAATTTGGTGTCAATATGGAAACCATCACTGACTTGGGCCTTTTACTAACGTGAAAATTTTCTTTTCTTTTATTTAATTTATTTGTTTTCCCTGTACATAAAGTGAAATTCTGTTTGCAGGTTTTAGAGAAAGCATTGGAGGTGTGGGATCTGCAAGTCATTCCACTCAACTGCCCTGTTGCCGAACCTGCTCAGATTGACCCGCAACTTGAAAATGCATTCATTTGTCATTTGCAAGACCACTGGTTCTGTATCCGGAAAGTGAATGGAGAGTGGTACAACTTTGACAGTCTCTATGCAGCCCCCGAGCACCTATCCAAATTTTACCTCTCGGCATATCTGGACACTCTGAAGGGTTTTGGCTGGAGCATTTTCCTTGTGAGGGGAAACTTCCCCAAGGAGTGTCCAATGACATCCTCTGAAGCTTCCAATGGTTACGGACAGTGGCTGTTGCCTGAAGATGCAGAGAGGATAACTAAATCTTGCAACTCTGGACAGAGACCTAATCACAGGACCAATCAAAATCAACAGGTTTCCGATCCGTTTCATCAGTATGGGGAAGCAGAAATGCTCTTAGACGCAGAGGATGAGGCTGCTTTGAATGCTGCAATAGCTGCCAGCTTGATGGATACCTCCCCTGCCCCTGCCCCTACTCCAGCTCTTGCTCCTGCTCCTGCTCCTGCTTCGGCTCCTACTCCTACGCTGGCGACTGCTCCTGCTCCGGCTCCCACTCCTACTCCTACTCCTACTCCTAGTACTCCGGCTCCAGCTCCAGCTCCAGCTCCAGCTCCTGCTCCTGCTCCTGCTCCTGCCCCTGCTCCTGCAGGTGCTGAAGCTGAAACTCCACAAAAAGATAAGAAAAATAGTGGAGATGATGTATGAGAAGAAATATTCTTTTAGATTTTTATGTTTACAGGTCAAGGGGTCTATGATGTGTGTCAAGTTTGATGTTTGAACTCACACCATGAACTTGCATTTTTATGCTAGTTTCCATAGAATTTGCAGTGTATACATCTTTATTTTCCTCCTTTTTAGTTATTTTTTTTTAAAAAAAATTATATCTTAGTCTTGTTCAATTAAACATTGTAAAAACTTTAAATTGAGAAAATAATAATTTGTCAACTTCATAGAGGATTAATGGCAGTTTCAGGTTACAGCTATTTTTATTTTATTTTTTAAAATTTGAGAAATAAAACAGGATTGCTTGGTTATTTGTATGGTTGTTATACTTAATGATTATTCTTTGATTGTGAATTCCTTATTTTGAAAGTTTGAGCATAAATATTAAAGGTCTGATTTAAGAAGAATAGAGAACATGAAACAGGTTACCTTGTTTAATCAAATTTCTTAAGATGTTTGTGCAGATTTGTTTTTAATTTTTCGCATTACAAATGTATATAATAATTAGGGAAATAAACTCTTGTCCGTTTATTTATTGAAATATAGAGTTCTTTTCTAGCCAATGAATTTACTGTAAATGGAATGGTATTTGAATGATTCTCATTGCTTTTGGTTCAATTATGTCAACTCACATATGTAACTTTAAGGTAATAATAAAAATAAAAATAAAATTCTACAGTGTCAAGATTAACCTCGCTCTAAACACTCCCTAATTATCATAAGTTCTATCAAATAATAAATTCACCTGAGACCTACATGTGACTCTTTCTAACTTCAAAATGATAATAAATAAATTTAAAAAAAAAATTGTCCAGTGTCAAGATTATCCTTCCTCCAAACACCACCTAGAAAAAAATTTACACATCAGTTCTTAAAATAATTATAGTTTCATGAAAGAATTTAACATTTTAATTATTAAAATTTATAAATTTTACCTTAATTTTGTTTTTTCAAACTTTATCTGTATCGTTATTTCAAAAAAAAAAAAAAACTTTGAATATTGAAATTCTGTTTTTAAAAATAAATAAATAATAAAATAACAGCAGCCCATATGCTGAGCAGGTAAGCGGTCATTCTCTCATGAGAAGGAATGTCTTCTTCTTACACACACACTCTCTCTCTCTCTCTCTCATATATGTCTTGGTTTGGAAAGTGGGTTGACTTTTTGACTTTTTAATTTTTTTTTGACTATTTTAGTCTGGATTAAAAAGCTTGGTTTGGAAAGGACTTTTTGACTTTTTTGACTTTTTTTAAGAGAAAAGTGTAATGATTATGGGTTGGATGTGATATTTTGTTTATTGTGGCTAAAGTAGCCTATTTTGTTTTTTGTGGTTAAAATAGCAAAAAAAAACCTCAAATCTTGCTTCCCAAACGGTATATATGTTTATAGACTTTGTTTGTTTTATCCGATATAAAATAGAAAATATAATATGATGTGAGATTTAGCCATGATATATAACAAATAAAATATATACATTAGATAATATATTTCCTAATTCATATTTGTTAACTTGATATATGATTGAATATATATTATTCAATGGAAGGGCCACATAGAGAAAAATGATGATTATCATTGGAAAGAAGCTTTGTCAACCAGAAAATTGAGTAGATCTACACTTACAAAACCAGAGCACTTCTTTTTTGTTGGATGTATTGAGCTGAATATATTTTGTTGAACCCTAGTGCGTATATATTAGATAGACAAGAAGATAAATTACACTTTTTAAATCATATCCAAACATAGGGAATATGATACAATGGGGGAGGGTGGTATTGTATATCCACCAATTTTGAGAATATACAATCTCATAATATATTATATCCTTTCTAAAAAATTACAAACACAAAGGAGTATTTTGAAAAGTTGGTAAAAAATTAATTTTTTTACTTTTTTTATAATTTTTTTTGACAAAAAATTGACTTTTTTTAAATAACATATTGCCAAATTAAGTCATAATATCCGATCCCACATTTTATATCTAGAATCAAACAGCCCATATAGCTTATATACATAGATAGATATGCAAATTATACACCAGTGTAGTAGTGTGTGTTTTCACACTTCTAAGCTGAAAGAGAACCATTAGCCCCGCCTCTCCCCACGTTCATCTCTCTCTCTCTCTCTCCCCCATCTCTCTATACAATATAGATATACATGTATATACCTGTAAATCTAACATATATATGTGTGTGTGTATCTCCTTAAGACTAGAAAAAGCTAAGCAGAAAGCTTTACAGAAGAAAATTGCTCTTTACTTTTCAAAAAGAGAAAGCATATAGGTGTGAGTGTATGTATACACACACATATATACACATATATAATCTTCACTTAGCTGCAGATCAATATCTAAACTGAAGTTTTTGGTTGTTTATAGAAGCAATCAATCGCATTCGAATTTTCGTATATCGTCTCTACTCTTCTTTTGAGGCCTCAAGTTTTGTTTCTACTTCAATTTCCGGGAAATGTGTTCATCGGATCGATTGTTTAATCGGCAGACAACAGTTCATCAGATCCTTGGAGGTGGACTCGGTAAGGACAATCGATTCATCGTTTTCAATTCTCTCTCTCTCTCTCTCTCTCTCTCTCTCTCTCTATATATATATATATATGCATAAATATGTATATATCTCCTTAAGGCTAGAAAAAAGCTAGGCAGAAAGCTTTACAGAAGAAAATTGCTCTTTACTTTTCATAAAGAAAGCATTTAGGTGTGAGTTACATAATCTTCTGCAGTAAGCAGCAGATCAATATCTAAACTAAAGTGTTTGGTTGTTTATAGAAGCGATCAATCGCATTCGAATTGTTTGTACTTCAATTTCTCAAAAATGTGTTCATCGGGTCGATTGTTTAACAGGCAGAGAACAGTTCATCAGATCCTTGGAGGAGGATTTGGTAAGGACAATCGATTCATCGTTTTCAATTCTATCTCTCTGTCTATATATACATATATATATATATGTATTTGAACTTGAAATTGAGAGCCTCTTTGATTTGATCGAGATCAGAGCAAAAACTTTATCTAAATTCAGAATCAGATCATCTCAGAATCCGCAATTGATTGTTCCAGACCTGATTGCTCTGTCAAATTCTTGTTAATTTTATCACATTTGTCTTGATTCAATTGCTATAAATGGCGAATTCGTTTTACATTCAAGGTTGTTTTTTTGTTCAAATCAAAACAGTTGCAGATGTGATGCTGTGGAGGACTAAGAATGTAACAGTGGGGATTCTAGTGGTAACTCTTGCTGCTTGGTTAGTGTTTGAGAAATCTGGTTACACTCTTCTATCACTTGTCTCTAGTGTTCTTTTGCTCCTGGTTACCATTTTTTTCCTCTGGGCCAAATCCGCGGCTATTCTAAACCGGTAATCTTCAATCATTCTTATTCTTCTTTGCTATAGTTAGATTTATCGGTGTTTTTGTTAATTATAAAGTATATGATAACTAAGCAATTCAAGATAATCTGTTGTGTGCTACATGTCTTGTTTTTGCTTTAAGGGGTTGATTTTCATTCAATCCCTAAATAATTTGTTCGTTGTTCATGGTTTGAAATATGTTTTTGACTGATTTGATCTAAGAATATATTTCATTCGCTTCTTCTGACTGTAAATTGAATATACATTCTGAGGTTTAAATGAGGTACCAAAATTTACATTATAGGCCTTAAGCTATCACCATTTTGGATTGCATGAATTCATTATAGGCCGGATCAGGATATTAGGTCCTTGTAGTGTAATTCATCGGAAAATTTATTAATGAAAATGCCTCTGTTATTGTCATTTTTATTAATTTTGTGTGCTAACTTGGTAAAAAACCTTCCAAGGAAGAAAAACAAGCGTAGATTAAAGAAGTTACGAGGGGGAGTATGCATACATGATAACTAATAAGGCTTTTTTTAAGTTAAGAATAACTAATTAGGTTCAATTTTACTTCCTGGTCCAACTTGATGACTTGCGCGATGGGTAGAAAACTTTTAAGGAAGAAAATCAAACATAGATTAAAGAAATTCAATATGAGGAATGTATGCATGCGTGATAGCTAATATATGTATATATATATATATATATTTTGCGGTTAAGAATAGCTAATTAGGTTCAATTGGCTTTCCAGTCCAACTTGATGACTTTTGTTGCTGGTCTACCTTCTCATGATGTAGTAAGTTACATAATTTCAAAGCTTTCATGATGTAGTTATACTTTATTTTTTGATAAGAAAAATGTGAGTAAATTTATTCAAAAAGAGGGACAAATGAGTGCACAACCCATATATATACAAGAGAAACAATAAGATAAATAATTTCAAAGCTTACATGATGTAGTTATACTTTTATTTTTTGATAAGAAAAATGCAAGTAAATACGTTCAAAAAGAGGAACCAAGGGAGTGCACAACCCATATACAAAGAGAAACAATAACAACTATACAACCAAAATGCTGTAGCTATTACTTCATGGTTTTTATTTAAATGAAAGAAAAATTGCATTTAGGACCTCTGCTTCAAAACAATGGTTTCATTCATAAACAAAATGCATGCATAGTTGTACATGTAAATGGAAACTTTTGGAACGTAAGTTTTTATGTTTGATTGAACATTGACCTTTGAAAACTGTTCCTGCATCATCTAAGTTCTTCCTTGAAAGTTTTTTGATCTCGTTTAGAACTAAAAATATATAAGAACTTTGGGATTAAACAAAATGATTTTGATCACATTGTACTCAATAGACCTTCTCCACCACTACCAGATTTGTATCTCTTGTTATGGAAACTTTTGGAACATAAGTTTTTATGTTTGATTGAACATGGACCTTTGAAAACTGTTCCTGCATCATCTAAGTTCTTCCTCTAAAGTTTTTTGATCTCGTTTAGAACCAAAAATATATTTGGGATTAAACAAAATCATTTTGATCATTGTACTCAACAGACCTTCTCCACCACTACCAGATTTGTATCTCTCAGAAGAAGCAGTAAATGACATAGCAGCCCTTGTCCGCGGTTACATAAATGCATTGCTCTCAACCTCCAAGGATGTTGCTCTGGGAAAGGACACAAGACTGTTTTTCAAAGTTGCTGCATATCTGTGTCTAATTTCTATCATAGGCGGCTTGACTGATTTCCTTACATTGGGCTACACCAGTAAGTCTTTCCTTCAACTTTTTTGGTGAAATGTTTTCGAAAACAGTTTTTGGAAACATTTCTGAAAACAACCCACTTTTTATTGTTTTGTTTCTGAAAACATGAAAATGAAACAGAACCAAACAGGCTTTTGGTTTTAGCATCCTCAACTTTCTTACCATGAGTATGATTCTCTTTTCTTATAATTTTTGATTTCCTTCATGGCAGGCCTTGTTATCGTTCTTTCAATTCCGGCACTCTATGAGAGGTATGAAGATTACATAGATAGATGTATATTGATGGGGTGCAGAAAACTGCAGCAGTTGTATGTGAGGTTTGATGTGGAGTGTCTTGCTAGGGTTCAGAAATGGATTTTGGAGAAGAAGAAATTAAGCTGAGCTCTTTTTCCATTTTTCAAGTTTGCTTGCTTTTGACAGTGTGATGAAGTTGTGCTAAGTCCTGTTTGGCAGGAGACTCAAATTTATTTATTTTATTATTTTCATAATGATTTATTCTTTTTTGTATAATCATGTCCATGCACAGAGGAAAATTGCTTCGGAGTTTTGACTAGAAAATTGCAGGTGACATATTTACCATTGAATTTGTCAGGGTTTAGTTTCTCTCCAATCAGTAACCGTTCAGTGCAATGACGGTCTCGGAACCAATGCAGTCGAGTCACCAGAGTTGATCCTCACCCTTTAGATTTCCATAAACTACGGCCCAAGAAAGCCTTGTCTACATATTCACACCAGAGGAATGCAAAAATCATAACTGCATACATGTCACCAAGTTGCCAAAATCTTTCCAATTGTTTTTTCCATTAGGACCCTTTATTAAGCATCAAAAAATGGGAACAACAACAAAAACAGCAACAATGCATTTTATTTTTCTCTAAACATTCATCGGTTATGGCAGCAATCACCATCCAAAATGTCTTCACGGCTGGCTTCACTGTCTATCCTCTAAACTCAAGGTGACTCTATACTTCTAACAAACTTCTTGGCCTGTTATGAGAAAAAAGAACAAAAAAGAAAAAAATTAGCAACCTAACAAAGGAAATCAAGCTTCATTTTCTTGACACTGCCAAAAATGACCACATTAAATATGACGATAAGCCTACTATTGCACGGTTTCTTAGAAAGTGGCTTGGAGAGTTTGTATATCTCAGAAAAAAGGAATTGCAATCCAAAAAGAAATGAAGCAAAACCACGAAACTATCATCGCTCGAGTTTGTAGCTTTTACCTGCTCCAAGGTCAGAAACATGATCACATTCCAAGATCCTAACCGTCCAAAATTTGGGATAAAGCCCTTATAGAAAGCAAAAGGCCCCTGCGTAACATAGCAAGTAATATTGAGATAGTTGAAATACAATATATTGCATTTTCAAGTAATATTGACACAGTTGAAATACAATATATTGCATTTTCAAGATAGGTTCCAATAAAATGCTAGACTAAAACAACTCTATCTTAACTAAGAGACAAACAAGAGCATAGACATTACCTTACAGTAAAACATTTTTCTCTTTATTTAATTACAGTTGGTCATAAACAGGGGAGGAAAGTAACTATATATATATATATGACAATCCATTTTATTCTCTCTTTGAGTATATTAGGTATTTGTAGAAAGGCACAAAAGCTTTCAAAAGAAAACATCTTGTCAAATCATCATGTTCTTTCATAAATATTGAAGAAAAATGGTGAACAATGTATCAAAACAGGGTAGAAAGATGATGAACTTACATCGTTCTTCAAAGTCTTGACGAAACAATCAAGAGTACTTTTATATGCAGAAGAATCCCCCATCATTCTTGACTTAACCTGCAGCATTTAATTATGTAGATTTGCATTGTTAAGCCACATGCAGATCAGACCCAGTCTCAATCCAAGTATACTTTCAAGGAAGCAAAATTTGAGTAAACCTCCATTCCACTGGTCTATAATTAAAAGCATTGCTCAACAGGATATAGATGCCAACGAGAATTTATGATATTTTGGCAAAACAACCTACAAGGTTACAATATATGGAATTGACATATGTTTCTCCATGATTGCAAGACCAATGCTTCTGAATAAATATTTCCTTTTATTTCAACTTCATTTAAATGAGACAAATCAGATCATAATTACAAAAAGAGAAAAAAGAAAAAAAAAAAATCATATTAACTACTTCTTACCATCTAACTTGAAAATTATCAACTCTTCACACTTAAGATTGTTAAGAAACAAAATAAAAATCTCTACTTATCTCAACAGCTGGGAAGAGCGATATGATCACCTTAAATGGAAATGGGCATATGCAAAGGGGTAAAAAAGTGAACAGATAACTACCAAATCCAATGTCTTTGAAAGAGTGTTGCAGCAGAAATTGACAGAGCAGAGTAGCAGGGGGGAAAAATGAACTTTTTTAATTCAACTGAGCAAATAGCTCTTGACAGAGCGGAGTAGCAGAAAAGGATTTATGTTACCAACTTCATTTGATTGGGAAACAAGGCTTAGTTTCGTTTGGTTTGATTTATCTCAACTATATACCAAGAGGTATTTTGAAGTTCAGACCATGTTTTGGTTTGAAATCTTCCACTATCAAGTTACATGCACAATTTAAGAGCTTGTGGTTTTTGAGCACATTGAACTGATTGCATGCGCTAAAGGATGACAGGCACAGTAGATAAACAAGCATGTCAACCAGGAGGAAGGTTCTCGTCTACAAGCTACATGTCCTCACCCCCTAAGCTACAAATTTCAGAAGACTAACAGCAGGATCTCTATCAGTGACCAGAAAAATCCTGAACCAGAGATGGTCAAGTAAATAACATACCACATCAACTGGAGAGCCAATGCAGACTGCAAAAAAACCAGCCCCCAAACCAGATAGCAAATGAGTAAAAACATTATCTGTGAACCCCGGAATCTTTAGAATTGTCTGCATGGTGAGGGAGATAGAGTGAGATTCAAAACATCACTAATTATAACATATTAAACAAACAAAAATCCAGCCTTGAAATTTTACCTGCTTCACTTGATCATAGCTAGCTAGTTCAGCAGCATTTATAATAGCATTTCGAGCTATGTTAGGCCCAATCCCAGTCCATAGAGCCCCAACTCCTTCCTACATTATAGATATGGGTTAGCTATATTGGGTAAAAGAACCAAATGATGGGCATCAAATTTTCTTGGGAGGAGAGTTCAGAAATTTAACCTGTCTCACTATTGTAGAATAAGCATTCAGTGCACCAGAATAACGCCTTGGCACACCAGGAGGCAATTTTCCTTCAGCTTGAAGTCTAACTTTCACAAGATCAGTAGGATTTGCAATTGTGATTCCAAGGGCACCTGTTTGAAATATAAACAACCACTTAATGTATATATATATAATAAAAAAAAGAAAAAAGAAAAAAAGAGAAAAAGGACTACAAGATCATCACTATGCATGGATAAGATATCCCAGTTATCTGTCTAAATTCTGCATGCATCAATAAGAGGAACTAGCATAAGTTATGGATATTTCCTACACTCTAATTAAAAAGATGATAAAATGCATGCCAAAGCATTTAACACAATACTCACCAGTTGTAAGTGCAGCAAGTACTTTCTTGGACAACGGAACATCTCCAACAAAATTATCACCCACATATAAGGTCTTAACCTGTTAAGCAAGGGAAAAACTTAACCTAAAATCATTTTTTTCCCAATTGACAATGGAAAGAAATAAACTTAATAATCGACGCATGAAAGAGATCACACCTTTCAAAGATGGCAAGTAACATGAGAGAAAAAAATTGTTGTTGCCCCATTCATTTTGAGACAACAAATGGGAGCAAATTGCCTCCCTCGAAATTTTTTTTGACAAAATTGCATGGAGTGTAATACTCTTAAAAAAAAACTCATTGCCCTCACTTATCCTTATGTTGATCTGCCCTTGCAGCTAAAAATGCAAATAATGCACGAAAACCAATGCCTTCACAAGCACAAAGGCACATAAGTAATTTGTTCCAGCATAGGAAAAATATATGAAACTTACAGGTTCATACAAGCCAATTCTTAGACCTCCGAATAAGCATTGACGATGTAATCCAGGTACAATGCCTTTCCAGAGAGAAGCTAGACCTTCTTCTCTTGCAATGGTGGCAACTGTACCTAGCATTCCCTTATATTTTGGTAGAGTCAGTGCATCCCCTGCAACTGATTTCTTTTGGAGCTGAAGCCTAACCTTAGCAGTATCCAATGGAATAGTACACAGCTGCACAAAATCAAATATGTGTTGATAAAGGAAAACACTTCATCTGTATCAGACCACAATAGCAAAATATCAAACCCACATATGATATAACCATGTTACATGTAGACCATCTCCAAAACTTCACCAACTTTTTCATCAAATTTGATTCCAAAATTGAGCAAAACGTTTCATTTGATATGAACTACTCCAATGCTTCATCTTTTTAAATTTTCATCAAATTCAAATTTGATGAGTTTTCAATTTGATGAAAAAATGACTCTCTCTTGATTTGATGAACATTTGATTAAAGAATTGGAGATGAATTTTGAACACTTTATTTGATGAAAGAAAAGGTGAAAGATTGGAGATGTTCAAATTTGATGTGTAGCATTAGTTTTTGAGAAACCAAATTAATGCTCACCATCTCAGCATCTGTATATGTGTTCATAGTAACAAATAACTGACAAAATTCATTATAAAACTAAAAGACACCTGATTATAACATGTACTTTGTTCAGAGCTAACTGAGAATTGACGCCCATGATCATCAAATTAGGGCAACTTGGAATCAATTTTGGTTCCATTGGGGTCACATTAGATATATCTTTCCTATAGGTAATTTTTTGATAGGTAATCTTTCCTATCCAGTAGCTCTGATAGGTAAGTTTTTTTATATTTTTTATAGTTCTTAAGCAATTCTGCTGGATAAATTCTGATTGAACATACATAACAACATAACCATTTTTCAGCTAATCCCACATATATGATATCTATACACCAAAAATTAAAAACATATATAATTTCACAAATCTGCAGGACATTAAATAAACAAATAAATAAATTGATTATTCACAAAGGATTTCGTCAATCAGTACTGTTGGACCATTTTAATATCTTTTATTTATTTATTTTTTATTTTTAGTGACCTTTTGTTTTGTTCATGAATGGAGATTAATTGGAAGGTCATGGACTTGGCGGTGAGTTAATATTTGGAGGTTTTGGGACTCTCCCTTTTCTCTAGTTTAATGGTCATTATTTTTTGGTGTAATTTGTAAAGTCCTAGTGGCGTATAAATTGTTCCTCTCATCTACTATTTTATAAATCAACTATTTTTTACACTTGAGAGATTACTAGTCAAAGAAGGGTATTTTTTTCTTAGTGGAGCTTTGGGTTCACCATCTTGTGCAGAGTTGGCCTGACCCATACGACAAGTGGTCGGATTGTTGTATCCTGAAGGGGACAAGTCATAGTTTAGTGACTGTTGCATTGGTATTTGGATTCTTCCTATCGCAGTGGGCTTGACCTCCTTAAAAAAAACGAGATATCTATGCCTCAACCTGATCTATTTGTATTGCATTTTCTTTGCATTATTTATCAATAAAATATAATTATTCTGGTATATTCACCAACAAGTACTAATCCGCCAAGCTTGAATTGACTTTCAAAAGCAGAATTAATGAAACTGAAGTGAAAATTGAGCTTGTATCACAATCAAATGCATATATATGAATACAATAATACATAATCAACATGAAAACCAATAGAAACGATCTGAAATTTTGATCAGCCAACATATATGATCTCTATGTACCAAAAATTAAAAACAAATATAATTCACAAATCTGCACGACATTAAAAAAAAAATGGAAGAAGAGCTAATTATTCACAAACAATTTCGTCAATCGTCACTAATCCAGCAAACTTGAATCGACTTTCAAAAGAAGAATTCATGAAACCGTAGTGAAAATATAGCTTCAGAGTAACATAATCAAAATGCATATATATATAAATACAATAATAATACATAATCAACATGAAAACCAATAGAAACGATCTGAAATTTTATGACCACAAATCTGCAGGACATTTAAAAAAAAAAAAAAAACTGATTATTCAAAAACGATTTGGTCAATCAGCACTAATTCAGCAACCTTGAATTGAATTTCAAAAGAAGAAATCATGAAACCGAAGCGGGCATTAAGCTTCAGAGTAACATAATCAAAATGCATATATATATATATACATAATCAAAATGAAAATCAATAGAAACGATCTGGAAATTTGATACATACCTCAGCGAAGGAAGCAGCAAATGCGCTACTGGCGAACGTTCCGGCGAAGGAGATGTCCGATTTAGGCTTGTGATCAGCCATTGGAGGACTCATCTTACCAAGCTCAAACAGAAACAGATAAAGAATTTGAGAGAAGCTCTGAACAAGAAGAGAATCAAGTTAAAGCGTCATGTATCGAAGGACTGTATGTATATATGCACATATATATATATATATAGAGAGAGAGAGAGAGAGAGAGAGAGAGAGTAACTGCGAATCTCGGGAAAAGCAAAAACAGCGAAACGGAGGTTGCGCAATTGGGTCTTCGCGTCTCTGTGCACCGTCACCCCGCATTTATTCGTTTTCTACATTTTCAGAGGTTTTGATACCCTACTCTCGACTCCAAATCCTCTTTCCTCTTTGGTTTTTATCAAAAAAAATTTACCAAACACACGCTAAGTGTGTTAGTAATTTTGTTGGTATCACTGACATTTTATTATTTTGATTGGCTTCTTTTTTATTTATTCAAGGAAAATAATTATAATTTTTTTTAATATATATTTTGTTAACAAATGATGGGAAATTTGTTAATTGGTAAATAAGATTACAAAGAAAATATTAGAATGGCTTTATCGATTCGAATCTTAAATCTTTGATATTCTCATTGATCTAATGAATATATAGATTAGCCGACTAGCCGTCCAGAAAAAATAATCAATTAAGTAATGAGATTTTGATCAAATTTATTCGAGTTGCCCTGGAGAAACATTTATTTTTCTGTTGCATTTGTTTTATTGTTTATTTTTAATGAAAATTGAGTCCACAGGAATACTAATGGGACCCACGTAGCCCCAATGGAAATGGATGCATCTGTAATAGCGGTGGGCGCGGGTCGGTTGCGGCCGCGGAACCTTCAATTTGTCATCTGTCTGTGCAGATTGACGGATTGGAAAAAATCAATCCGCATCCGTCTGCCAATCCAGCGGATGTAGATTGAGCGGATTGGCGGTTTAGCGGATAGATGTGAATCGGTTTGGCGGTTTAAAATTTTATAAATTTTTAATATAATTCAACTTGTGCACTTCCTCAAAAAAAAAAAAAAATAAAGTATTACAGTTAATGACTTAAAAAAATATTACAATCACTGCATGCCTCATTCAAAGAAAGAAAGTTTGAAACTTTAGAATATTATAATCACTGCATGTCTCATCCACATACTACAATTACAACATGCCTTATCTACATAAAATATTACAACATGTGATTCTTAAAATATAAAAATAATTCAAACCACCAAAACTATGAACAGAGCAATAGTAGAGATTGTATGTCTCTATATTGTTACATCTATATCTATTTTTTTAAAATAAAAACCAACCAGCATATATCATATTTTATATTTATTATTTTTAGAGATAGATTTAAAAACCAAAAAATATAGATAAATAATACGTTTATTTTTTTCAATTCAAAAAAGATATTCAAGTTGAAAATTTTTTTTCAACAAAATATTTAAACTTTTTTTTAATTGAAAACACAAACAGAATATTTAAACAAACTGAAAACACAAAATCTTATAAATTATTAGGGGTACTTGGGGTTTGGCGGTTCGGTTGCGGCTAAAGGAATCTCAAATCCACTATCCGTCCGCCAGATTGGCAGATTGGAGAAAATTAATCCGCAACCGTCCGCTCGTCATCACGCATCTGTCCAAAATGCAGCGGATCGGTCGATTTTGACGGATCGGTATATCCGCTGCTCACCCCTAATCTATAATATTGTATAAAAATTAATAAAATGAAATAATAAGGATACTAGTAAATAAAAATACTTCTTACAGGCTCTAGTTTACTAACAGGTACATTTTAAAGATTAGGTTTCGGGTAATAGGAATCTTAAAAGAGAATAAGCGATTCTGATTTTTTTTTTTTATATTTTGTTTTAATATTTGGAATGAACTGAAATAAATAAATGATTTACATAAATTACATTTTGAAATGGAAAATGTCTCGTAGCTCAAATTTTGTGGCTCAAAAATGGCTCAAATGGTCAAAACGACGTCGTTTTGGCCATTTTTATGTTGTTCTGTACTCAAAACGACGTCGTTTTGGCCATTTTTATGTTGTTCTGTACTCAAAACGACGTCGTTTTGGCCATTTGAGCCACTTTTGAACCACAAAATTTGAGTTACATAACATTGTCGTTTTGAAATTAAGTAAGAATTTCATTCTTCTATTTCTTCTCTCACATTCCTGAAAGAATGTTAATCATTTAAGAATAAAAGAAACAAAACTTGTATTAATAATATAATGGATGTTTTTATTTTTACTAAATTAATTTTAAAATTAAAAAAAAAAAAAAATTTGGAAAACTCAATCCGTAGAGACTTGTTCCAAATTCATCCTCCAAAAAAAACCTGTGCAATAGTCCAATCTAAAAATAAAAAAACAAAAAAAAAAACCGGTGCGATTGTGGAGAGCCACATCACCCCAAGCTGGCAAATTGAGAAAGGACAAAGATAGATGTGATGACTTTTATAAATTATCCTTTGCAATGTCACACAGTCATCGGATTGAAACATGTTGTAATGTACTCAGGGCTATTCAACCCCCAAAAAAATGTACTTAAGATTATAAAGGAGTTGAGTCAAGCCGAATTTTTGAATATTCAAACTCATTTATTAAGAATTAATCGAGCTCGAGCTAAGCTCTATGTCAAAATTCAAAAATTGAGTTCGAGTTCGGCTCGTCAAACATTTATTGAACTCAAACAAGCTCGATTACATAAATGAGTCGAGTTCAAGCTGATTACATAAACGAGCCGAGTTCGAACTCAAACTTGAGCTTAAAAAAAAATTAAATTTAAATTAATTTACTTATTAAGATAAAAAAATTATAAACTTATGAGTAAAATATATAATAATGCTTATATTAATAATAAATTTCATTAATCAAATATGTAAATTTACACAAACACCAAACATAAATAAAAAATAAAATAGATTATTGAAAATTTATTTAATATATTATTAAAAGTAAATAGTAATTTATTTATTTTTATGTTCACGATCTTTATCAAGCTAAGTTTAGGACTACTCGAGCTCAACTCGATTAATAAACAAGCCTAAAAATTAAATTCGGACTCGTTTATTTAGTAAATGAGTTAAGCTCAAAATACAATCACCATCTCTTTCATAAACAGTCCAATTCATTTGTAATCCTAAGTGTGCTTGGGTTCAATGGTGACAATTTTCTCACCACCACCCCTAAAGCCCTCAATCTTGCGCCTTGTCTCGGTCGGGTTTTCTCGACCTTGTTGAGAAAGTGAAGCGAATTTTCTTGATCTTATTGAGAAAGTGAAGTGTGAATGAATTTTATTTTCCTGTATTGTTCCATTTCGCCCTTGTCCCTATTTTATTTATTATTTATATATATATATATATATATATATATGGATATAAAATATATATAATTTAATTTTTTAAAATTAATAAGAAAAAATATTAAAATGTAACATTTAACATTCATTTATTCATCATTTTTAAACATCTTTTTAATTATCATTAATTATAAATCATTATTCGTAATTTTTATTAATTTTTAAATTACAAAATTAATTCATTCATGTCTTGTCTCTACTATCTATCCGATTTGTTAAGTCCTCAATATAAAACGAGACGGAGGCAGAGGCAGGAGATGACAAATCCATCATGTTGTCATCCCTATATCCAGGGATGGAACCAGAGTTACATCACTGGAGGGGTCAAAAGACAAATAAAAAACTTCACCATATACATATGCATGCATGTATATACAATATGATATATAAATTATGTATATACACAAAAAAATACAAATATCATACAAGTAATTTCTAATAGGATGAAATTTTTTTTGGTGCAAAATGAAAAGAAAGTGCAATATACGAGAAAAATGATATATGTATTTTCTTATACTGGAGGTCATTTTATTTTTAAAATGTTATGACAAATCATATTTTTCACAAAAACAAGAAGGCCATGGGCCCCCATAGCCTTCTCCTAATTCCGTCTCTGCCTATATCGATTGTAAAAAGTATAGACTTATCATCATGTGATTTGAGTAGAAGATAGTAAATGCAATAGGAGCACCTGATTCTAGAGAATTATATACCCTATACACTAAAGTGGGGGAACAATAGGCCACCACTCCATTGGTGGGACTCAAGTCACCAATGCATCAACAACAATGCCACCTTTTGTCCTTTCTCTATTCTACCCTTTCTTTCTTGGATCTTTTAACCCTTTTTCTGTTGTTTTTGTTGTCCAGAAATTATAGAAAATTGAAACTGTAGGATGAGAAATATTAAAAGAAAGAATCTTTTAATAATAATTTCGAGTTTCTTGTTAGAAATTTTTTCTCTTGCAGTTTCTGATAGGCCTAGTGGTCACATTGTCAGGTTCCAAAGATAAAAGACAAGGTTGTGGTTTTAGATTCATGATTGCTTATTTTATCGCCTCTTACAAAATTAACATATGTTATAACCCACATAGATAATTGCGAACTCAGATATGAGCAAGCAGTAAACTTGAACATCTCGAGTTCAATCCTCATTAGTGTCTTTCGAGCTTAACTAATTCTTATAATTTGCAGATGATTAAAGATATGTGCAATTGAAGAGAGATTCGTTAAGCTCTTTAAATGAGAAGTTTCTTGTGCTTCCTATTACAAGATGGGCATTTCTAGACTGAAATGAGAATTCTTCATAGTGTGATTAAATCAAGTAACAATTCAATGATTTCAAAAGGAAAATTATCTAAGGGAAACCTAGTAAGTATGGAGGAGGAAACATTTTAATGCTATATATGATCAATCAATGATAAACATTATATAGTTCTTATACAACAGTATATAATCATCTCTTTAATGATCACTTAATGGTACAGATATATTGGCATGCTTTTCCTGATTTGACCACAAAAAAAAAATAAATAAATAAAATATTGGCACTATGTCTAAAAACACAGAGAGAGAGAGAGAGAGGTTGAATAGGCTTGAATCCAAGTCTAACCCAAAAGAATGGCTGATACTGCGATCAGAAAGACCAACAACCTCTTCCGTGGAAATTTCTCCACTTCGAAGCGTTGAAACAGGTAGAAACACCTCTCCTTGCAGTTTCCAAGAAACGAATAAAAGGGTAACCACATAATGATTTGGCTCAAGCATGTGTTACAACAACCTTGGCTCTAAAAAGGTCTAACGGCAAGTTCTTCACTTGAGGATAAGGAGTTTCATTTGCTCCTCTTCTTGGCTTCGCTATACAAAATGACTCCAATGACAGTAAGCATGTAGCCCAGCATCCCTGTTGCTGAGACGGGATTCTTAAATATTAGAATGGAGACAACCACAGCAACAGCACCTTTTGCATTTCCCAGGACCTGGAAACATCGTCAAATTTCAATCGTTTTGAAGTACACAAGTTCAGAGGAGTTGTTAGCAGGTAAATTGTCAACAAGGATATACACATCAGTGGGAAAAAAATAGACAAAATCAAAATGGAACTATCTGCATAACTTCGTCACATAACGCATGCCTTCAATAGCATTTCTTCATGTAAGAATAGGTCAACAAGAAATCTTAGCACGCACTTGGAATTGCCAATGTGAAGTTGCTTTTAATTAGTTTTCCTGGTAACTCTAATTCATCTTCTACTTTTTTGTCAAGATGAAATTATTATTTATTTCTACAAAACCAACTACATCACCCAACCTCAAGTATTACCCTGGACGCAAGTATCATCCATGATCACCCAGCTACTTGCCTACCTTAAGTTTCTTGAGCTTCCTACTATCCACTATTCATGCTTTAATGACAGAGATACTTCTTGCTATGGACGATTGGTGTGTCCCCCCCATGTCCAGTGTTGTCACCATATATGTGCTTCTTTGACTTGAGGAGGAAATAAACTTTAGGGTAAAAATAGCCAGAGAGGCCCCATATGGTTTTGACCACTGTACACTTAGCCTCCCTACCATTATTAATTCTGTCAAAATTGACAGAATTTGTGCAATACAAGCTGACTTTGAGAATTGAAAGTCAAATTCCATAGGAAACGGACAAATTTTCTCTTTTTCATCTTCTTCCCATTTCAAAACCCTAACCCCAATACACCCACCACCCCATCACCACCACCACCTCCCATCCATCCCTCCACCTTCACCTCCTTCCTTACCATCTTTTTTTTTTTCGTCTCCTTCCCGCTTCTGGTAGAACTTGAAGGACCCAATTTAACAAATCACTGAAGACGAGTTTGATAAAAGTTATCTGGACAAGGCAATGTTGAAAAGTTGGACATGCATGTGAACAATTACTCAAGTAGCATCCATCCTCAAAAGTGAAAGGAGTCGAAGAAAGTTTATTTATTTATTTATTTATTCAAATTATAAAGAAAAGGTCCTCTGTTCTTTATAAATATCACTAAAATTACTGCATGACGGATACATACAAACAAACTAAAACAAGATAGAAGCTGTGCTAGAACAAAGGGGCATACCTGGAGAGTCAAAGCGCTGGTGTGTTTAGTGACCAAGAAATTGGTCAAGTTCACAAAATATGCCAAGGCAGAATTGAAGAGTAGATACCAGATTATTTTGATATCATTTCTGGCAAGAGCTATTGTGATCCCAACCACATTTTCCTCCATAAACAGTGTCGCGGGAAGTAAGAATAAAACAGCTATTGGTGCCATGTACAGCAGAAGGTTCATAGAATTCAATTTTTCCCTGAAAAATATATTATAATAATGTTCAGTCCGGGTTTTGAGCAAGGAAAGTAGATACATAAATGTGTAACCAAAATGATGGCCTCTACATCTATACAATTTTGTTACAATGAAAAATAATGAACACGAGTAGTTAATTACCCTTCTGCGGACAGCAAAATCCCTTGAACCACTGACTTTAATGCCCTTGCAGCTGTAGCACCAAGACACATTATAAACCCAAATAGATGGAAGCTTGGTTCACCCTGCAGTCACATAACAAAGAGATAAATAAGACTACTTTCTAGTGTTTCCTCTCAAAATGGCTAGGAACCACTATTGACATTTACGCATATCATCCCCACCAAAGGAAGAGAAAAGGAAAAAAAAGAACTGAATATTGTGTTCCACTCCAAACCAGCTTATGCAATATGATTCTATGAACTGAAATCTTGTTACTGGCATAAGATAGAAATGACCAAACCATCCTAAAATTGTTCACTTTTTCTTATTTAAGGCCAGGTTTAGCTGAATGTGTGCACAATTAGAGCCAGTGCACAGCCCCACTCTACATCTAAACATTCTCGTCTTCACTGTGCATACCATATGAATTCTTAGTCATTAGATAAACAAAACTTTCTCTCTCATGACAAAAGAAACATAAAATAAGGGTTTACCACTTGCCTCAAAAAAAGGATCTGATACTTATTTTAAAATGGTCAATGAAATCCATGGACCTGTAGATCTACGTTAACAATTAGAGCCAAGACAAGAGAGTTTTGAATCATGATAGGGGCTTACCGCTTCCATTAGGGTCAACATTAGACTCTTATCCATTTGCTTTGGTTCTGAACTATGGAGCAAGGATGCACTTCTAACTAAGTAGGAGTAATGCATTTGAAATAAACAATACATTTAGGAGACTCATAGACGCATGAGTGCCCAACACTTCCTAGACTCAAGCACTATTTGCAGATAAATTTTGGCTCTCAAGCATGTTTGTGATACTTTTCAGATGTTTTCTGAACTTTCTACCTATTCCCCTTTTTCCCATCAAAAATAAATTAACAATGGTACACATAAGAAAGCCATGAGAAAATTTGACACAAATCTAAAACAATTTCTACAATTCTGCAGTGTTCCATTCCTCATATAAGATAGAGCGATTAACAAAAATACATATTTGAAGGATTTTAACTATAGTATGCACACAAAAGATTTAAGAACTATCGGTTTGAGATCTGTTTATTTAAAAAAACAAAATTGGAAAGAAATGTATCCTCTTAATTTACTAGTACTGCAAACCCAAGGGGTTGGCTTGGCTGAGTGATAAAGACTTGAGTATAAGATCTAAAGTCTTGAGTTCGAGTCACCCCAAGGGGCCACTGGAGTTTTGCCTAGTCATTAACATCAGGGCCCTAGCATTAGTCAAGGTGTGCATAAGCTGACCCGAACACCCAGTTATCAAAAATAAATAAATAAATAAAAGGACAAAAAAAATGTTCTAGTTCTGCATAGTCATCCCCCCACCTACGACCCAATATATATACTACAAGTTCTCCAAATTGACTTAGTCAGGAAAGTAAAAAATTGAATGAATTCTGTAATTCAAACAGATTTCAATCATGAATTGAATCCCCGATTACAAGAACCAAGCTCAAACAAGATCAAATTTCAATTGAATTCACACTAGGAAGATAAAATAATAATAAAAATAGAAAATTTACCCCACTAGCAATGACAACCCCAGTAACCACAGGAATGAGAGTGACATAGGTGAGCCAAGCCTCCCTCTTGACCGTCATAATATAAGCAAACACCGCCGTGAAAAACGGCGTCGTAGCCCCAACCGCCTGATTGAACGACACAGGAAGGTAGCGTAGAGAAACATTCCCACTCACGACCGAAGTACAAAACACGAGACTCAGAGTGGCGATCTTCACGAACTGAACACGAGACCTAATCGTCTGCAGAGGCACTAATTTCATCCACACGATAGCAACGTAGCTGAACAATGAACAAGCAGTCATGTGACACATGGTGAGAAAGATCGGGTACTTGAATCCATAGTTGCTTAGCAAGTACTTGTTGAGAAGAAGAACCCCAATGTTCGATGCGTACCAGGCCGATACGAGCCCGATCGTGAACCACTGGCTCGAGCCCTTCATCGAAATTCGAGAAATTTATTTAGGAGTTTAGATCTGGAGAAATGTGGGGTTATAGTTTTTAGAGGCTTTGATGGATCTGAAGACAAGTCAAATTTAACACTTTGAAAGCTCTTTTGTATGAGAGAAAGCGCGAGAGAGAGGCAAAACTCGTTTTCAGGACTTAACGGTAAGGAAAAGTTGAGAGAGAGAGAAACACGGTGTCTGCAACTGTTTCGGCGGTGGTGGGAAAGTACCTGTCGTGTGACAAATAGGGGGAGGAGGGGGGGACTCACGCAAGTTGCATTTGGTTTATTGGATGGGGGCCACTTAAAAAATAATTTTTTTTGTGGGATCTACTTGATTTATAGTGTTGTTAGGTTAAGATTGACCGTTGGATTGGATTTTATGAAGTATTGAGTTTTTAAAAAAGAAAATGTTTTGTTCCTAAATTTAAACTAATTTGATTAAAAAAATAAGTTTAAAATTAACTTTCTTTTAATGTTGGAAGAAAATATAATTTTTTTTTTATAAATTAAACATAATTATATTGGGTTTTAATTTAAATCACACTTAAATTCTTTTCATGTTTATTGTATTAATAAAAAAAAGGATAATGTCGTATTATTTTATTGAAATATATATTTTTTCTTATTTATCTTTAAACTTATTAAAAGAGATGCAAGTGTACTTATGGAGGCGTTTGTTAAAAATTAAAAAAATGTGATTATAGTTTATTTTAATGTAAAAATATGTACTAAACTGTTTGATACAATTTTTACTTACAACTTATAGCATAATTGAATGGACTCACTTTTCTGTCTTTTCGTCCCACGATTTAAGGATTGGCGAAAAAAGTTAATTATCCAAAAATTAAGGGAAATGTGTTTTTAATTTTCTAATTATCAATCTTTTAACTTTTAATAAGTTGCACCAAATAGAACCTATGTCAAAGTTATAAAAATTACTATATTTTCTTCAAATATAAAAAAATAAAAGTCAATGTATTGCCTTAAAAAAAATTTAAAAAAATATTCCCATCATTTTAATATAATTTTTTTAAAAAAATTAAAAATTGAAAATCATTTTTTTAATATAAAACTAGTTTTAACTTTTATTTAAAAAAAAACAACATTTGAAATGTCGACAAAACAAGGTCATTAGATATCTAAAGGGTTGCTGTCAATTAATTAAATGACTTTTGATCAGAAGAATTTTCTTATTAATTGTGAACACTCGCCACGGTGGCGCGTGCCGTGAACGTTCCGACATTGGACCAATATCAGACACGTGTTAAGAAACTTTCGTACGTGAGTTCCAAATTGCCGGCCCTTGTTGCATCGCTTTTTCGCCACGTGCGAGAAATAAGTTCATGTTTTTTTGATTAGCCTCCAACTGCAATTACAATCACTGATTTTCCCGGCTATTTTGGCCACCGACATCTTCAACAACATCATAATCATCCAAATTTATTAAACAATATATACTGTATGTTAAAAAAAATCAACTGTCCAATAATAAATTATTATGGAGATGTAGTTAATTCTATTGTATAGATGTTGGAGTTTTTGAATTATTAATTATATTTATTAATTAACTGTTTAATAATAAATTATTATGTAGATGTATTTAAGAATAATGCTATATGTATTAATTAGTGTACTAATTGATAGTGTACTAATTGATGATGTGATATAATTTAAGAAATTTTTGAGATTTACAATGTGATTAATGAGTGAGGTCAATAACAATATCATAACTAGTGTTAGTATACTAATTAGTACATTAATTGGTATATGTAGCACTACCTTGTAATTAATTCTATTATATAGATGTTGAAGTTATTAAATTGTTGATTATATTTATGGGATTTTTTTTTAAGGTTCCTGATACTAAGATTTTATAGCATAAATGACATTCAATATTTTCATAATATCTAAAGTCCCTCAATATTGATCTAGAGAAATTTCAATCCAGAGAAATTCTGGACTTCCTAAAGAATTTTTCTGGGTTCAAACCAGAGAAAATTGAAATTTCTCTGAGTTCAAACAAGAGAAATCCAAATAAAATTGAACAATACAGAGAAAATTAAATAAGGTAGAGAAAATTATCCAGAGAAATTAAAATTTCTTTGAGTTCAAACCAGAGAAATCCAAAAAAAAATTGAACAATACAGAGAAAATTAAATAAGATAGAGAAAATTAAAATTTCTTTGAGTTCAAACTAGAGAAATCCAAAAAAAATTGAACAATGCAGAGAAAATTAAACAGGGCAAAGAAAATTACCTAAAGAAAATTGAAATTTCTCTAAGTTCAAACTAGAGAAATTTAGAAAACTGAACAACACAGAGAAAATTAAACAGGGTAGAGAAAATTGCGCAAAGAAAATTGATCAGAACAAAATACTAACAAGTCGGAGATCGTCAATCGCCATGCCACACACATTGAACCACATCTTGAGTTCTTGCTAATTTTTTAACTAAAACCCTCTTATCTCATCTCTCTCTCTTTCTCACGCACATACACACACACATAGCTCAATTGCCATGACTGTTGAATGCTCAGAAACTGAAGGTGTGTTCCCTCTCTCTCTCTCTCTCTCTCTCTGTGATAGTCACAATCTGGACGACTTTGATCATTTTCATCGCATGTCAGATATGAAGAAGAAGCTCTGTGATAGTCACAATCTAGACGACTTTGACCATTTTCATCGCATGTCAGATATAAAGAAGAAGAAGAGACAGAGAGAGAGAGAGAGGGGTTTGGTCGATCTCAGATTTGATGCGATGATGGAGATGCAAACAGCAACAGTAAAGAACGTTGGTGATGGCTAAAGAAGAGAGAAGAAGAAGAGACGATGATGGAGACGGCGACGACGATCACGATTTGAGGCAATGATGGTTATGGTGATTTGAGGCGATAATGAAGACGGCGGCGGTGGTGAGAAGTCGAAGATAAGAGGAGAGGATGAGAGAGATAGATCTAGAGAATGAGAGAGAGAAAGATCTAGGGTTTTGAACTAGTAGATAAAGATAAATCTGGTAGAGATCGACGGGAAGGTGAAGTCAACCTGGTCGTTGAGATCGACGAGAGAGAGAGAGGGGTAAGGGTTTGAAGTCGTGAGATATATCAAATTTCTCTGTGATACATGAGTGTGAGATTGAGAGACCTTAGATATTATAAAATAATATTGAAAATCTTTTTTATTACTGAAAATGAGAGAGAGACCTTAAACTAATTTTCCCTATATTTATTAATTGATATACTATATGTCAACCAAGATGATGTGATATAATTATTATACTAAAATTTAACTAAATTTATGTGATCAATATAATTTGAATTTTTTTTTTAATTTAGTTCAAATTCTAAAATATAATTACAAATAGGTGATAAATTTTATAAATATTAATAATTATTAAAATCATAAGTTTTTTCATGTACTCGTAATAATTTTTCAGATGTAGCACTGTGGTAATTTTTCCATACAATTTTATGCATTGAATACACACTAACCTTTCATTTTCCAAACTTATATATTTGCCCCGTTTGATAAAGGTGTGAGAAAGTGATTATATAACTTAATAAATTATAGCTTATATCTGTGAACATAAACTGATTTTTGACTTATAAATTAAGTTTCTCCTCCCCCACTCAAAGAATAAGTTAATTTTTGACTTACAAAAAGCTATAATCTGTATTGTTAAGCTAAACCAAACACATCAAAATAACTTAAATTAAGTTAAAAGCTGAAATAAGCTAGAAATAAACCCCACCAAACAAGGCCATTGTTATTAAGGTCAAGCATCAAAATATTGATGTCACACATTTTTTACGCTGATAAGGAAAAATTATTTGATACTTAAGTTTGGCTAAACAAAATAAGTGCACTTATTTCATCTTTTTATCTTTTTTGGGTCACATCAATCAACATTTCCTCTTTACTTTTTCTACACATAATACAATAAAAATCAAAAAATACACTTATTTAGTCTTTCCAAACTAGGCCTTATATGATGATAAATAACATTAACATTTGATAGATGAGAGATCATAACATACAAAGTGAATTATTCCGTCTTTCAACAATTCAACAAACATAAATCAACAATATCCCATCAAAAAATTTATTTGTTAGGTGATTAGTTTAGAGCACTATATCAACAATATTAAAAATGCTACATGATATTTTGAAACAATTTTCCTTGCAGCTATACATACATACATGTATGTATAAATGATCATGGTGACATAAGTTGCCCCCCACAACATATCATGTTCACCTTTGGATATAACTTTCCAGGAAATGCAACATACACATACACGAGGAGAGGTTAAAAGTCATTGCTGGCACGGCCACTTTGACCTCGTTTAGGCAACTACCCACTCTTGACCTCAATTTTTTAAAATAGACAGTGATTGGGCTGAACCATTCAGGGATCACCTCATTTATAACTTTAAAAGTCAGCAGTTTTAGGCACATCTCACATGCCAAATCAATCTCCCCATTTCTTGGTTTATGAGACTCTCAGTCTTCTGTAGTGTTTTTCTACCCACCAAAAAAAAAAAAAAATACAGGATATTTATATTATTCCATTTTGCTTTCCTGTTTTGATACAACACGCTATTGACTCTGACAAGGTCTGCTTATGCTAAAAGCATAGTCATCTAATGATATATCAAACACGAATTATAAGGTCAAATATTCTTATGCCACTACGAAAGCGCTAGATGAACCTGTGAAATGGTGGATTGAACCTAAAATCCCTTTCGAAGCACCAAAATGCCTTATTCTATACACTCCTGAAACTGCAGAATCTGGAATTGTCCATTCCATAGTTGCATAGCTTCGAGGGCTGAGTTTAGCAGGCCTTGACCACTTGAACTGCAAACAAAAGTCATCATCATCGTATGATGGAGTCCATTCGTCTGCGCCCTGAAGAATCTCAACCAATGCATATGTGCCCTCAGTCATGAGATCGTTCCTCGGGCAAGCAGACCAGAAAGTGACAGTAACTGTGTCTCCCCTCTTGAAGGTGGAATTTGAAGGGACATCAATTTTAACATCACCAAAGTTCACACCAATAGGGGTCATGTCAATGACGACTGGTGTAAGAAAGCTGATTTGCTTGTCGAGGAGGTCTGGGGGTTGTGGGCCAGCTTCGACAGCTTGACTAGTAACAAGAGCCACAGCTAGTTTCCTGAACTCTTGAATGTAGGCACTGAGTGTGTGTGGACCGTAAAGAGTAGATGCTCCCTGAAAATCAAAATCATCCATATCGATAAGAGTTATTTATCTGTGCAATTTCTGCCGAGGCAAGGGTTCAAATAATGAAATTCAAAATGAAAAGGACACTGCAGTTTTGACCTTTGATCATTCATTAACATTGCTCCTAGATCCAATTCCAAAATTTTGATCAGACACAAGTCATTTTAAACTATGCACTAGAAATGGGAAAAAAAAGGTGAAAGTAGGTTCTGTTGCAAAACTTCATTCAATAATGGATTTTGGGGAGTTTGTGATACAGACCTCATATCGCTGCACCTGGTACTCCTCAAAAGTGGTCACATACTGTGAATATGTATTTGTCAGCCCTGCAATAACAACATGGATATTGCTGTTGAATTCCTTATTGCCCCCAGAAGTCAGAACCATCTTAACAGCAGCTCGGAGGCGCCTGCCAGCCATGGTTGTGAATTCTGCAAGGGGGTACAAGCATTAGAAGGGAAGGTAATGAGAGGAACATGGAAATACCAATCAAAAAGTCAAAGACCAGTGAACAAAACTCAGTAGTTTGCTAACTAATGGTGATAACAATTTACCGAGAAAGAATCGAAGTCCATAAGATTCCAATTTTACATTATTACCAGCAATAATGCTACTAAACAATGTGGGGGCTTTTAAATAGAACGGGCAGAATTAAGAGTGAAAAAGATGCTAGCAACAACACAAAGGGATTGCATTAACCTCCAGGTACGCTGAGAATGACAAGTTGCCCAATTCGCAAGATTTGAATTGGAAGTACTGAGGGCTGCAAAAATCATTATAGAAATGTTGGTCAGTATCTGCATCAAACTACCAGGTAATTATTCAGAAATTCAATGCATTGGTCAAATCGTACACTAGGGAATAATTAAGACGCTTCAAGCAATCATTTTGAAAATTGGAACTTTACAATCCATTATCTGGGCCAGAAAACAAACCAAACATCACCCTGGTGTCAATTCCTACGCATGTAAATTCTTCTTTTTCAGCCCATCTAACTAGATTTTGCGTACTACCACAAGTATAAGACCGTGCATGTGTGTGAGCATGCATGCACGCATGTGTGTTTGTGTGTGTGTGTGTGTGTGTGAGAGAGAGAGAGAGAGAGAATCATCAAACAAGCTAATTTATCCAGCAAAAGACTTCCAGCAGGTGCAATTTATTTTTTGCCTTCATGTTTACCAGTATCAGGGATGTGATGCAAGACAGGACTTTGTTTGCGAGTAAAAACAATTAGGATATTGGAGCTCCACATTTATATCTTGAACACATTTATCCAACTTAAAACACTGGATATAATTCAGCATAATCTATATAATCTAGTTATAATATCTATATAATCTAGTTCTAGAGGTTCCGACTTTAGATTCTATGCACATATAGTAAATCCAAATGAATTGTTGCAACTCACCGCCCAATCATATGGTTCCTTCATTTCACCAGTATCAAGAAGAATAGGCTTTGGATTCTGACACTTGACCTGTTCCTCACTTGGGTTTTTTAGTAAATTCCTCACCAGCCTCCAGAAGGGATTTCCCTGAAGTTGTCCAGAAAACAGAATGCATGATTTACACAAGGCAGTTCGAGAGTGTATTCAAAGTTTTGCTTATGCAATGAAAACTTCCAACTAACCTTATCATCTCCTTGCTTGAAATCAAAAGCTCCAGGTCCATCAGTTGTTCCTGCAGCAAAAGCAAAGCCCATTGCAGCTGGACATGTTTTCACCATCTCATAACCCCCTCCTCCTTCCCTTGGGATCATGACCTCAAGTTTGGAAAAGTCCACATACGCATGTAGGTAACCAACCTTCCCTTTTATTTGCTCAGATGCTGTATTAAAAAGTTCAACAGCTTTTCTGAATTGCCTTTCTCCAATGATACGTGTACTTTCAAATTCATCAGGGAAACTGCCACATAAACATTGTTTTACAGTTTTTAAGTCTACATACATAGTACCAAATGCCCAAATGTTAAGTTTCAAGAAATTAGAAATTTTTTGATAGTATGTACCCTGGGCCACGGCCGTAGCACAATTCATTTTTTCCATTGCAAGTACTGTGATTGAAATCACAAGGCAACCCAGTGTCTATGCAAAATGCACCGAGTACATTCGGGCTGACATCGCCAACATTCGACTGACAGAATGCAGATACAAACTGAGGCCTGTCGGCTTGCCTAAGGGCACTTCTGACCCTTCTTGCAACACTAGAAATTTTTGTTGTGGGTTTTCCTGGAGAAGACTGGAAGGAAGATGCAAGTTCCATCAACTCTTTACCTGTAAGGTAAGATCTAAATTACAAATGAGTAATCAATTTTGTCAATGAAAGAAAAGGCAATTTCTAAGATGATATACTGTGCAACTGCTCATCCAACAATTCATGTGGTAATTTACTCAAAGTGCCAACCTCCTCGGTTTTAATACATCTACTTCTTTGTATATGTTCTTCTCATTATATGGTTTTCTGGTTGGAATCAGAATATGATATCGTTACTGAACAGGATTGAAATTGGTGTAAAATATGCATAACAGTAACAAAATTACCTATAATAGTTGGAACCTTTAGCCTAAAATAACTCACTTTAAATTTTATTGGTAAATTAAGTTGCCCTAGGTTCACACTCCATTGCAATTTTGTAGACACAAACCAAACTCTTCCCCAACAAGAATAACATAGACAAAATAACTACGAAACCAAACAAGTTTCCTGAACTAGATGTTGTAAACATGAATGCAAGACAAAAGGCGTTAAACTTACGGTTTTCATGAAGGCTAGGTATCACGCTGGACACTCTTCGGGGGATTCTGACAACTTCGCGTTTCTCAGGATTCAGTCTTCCATTGTCATTCTGAATAGCATTTTTTTCATACCAATCCTCCATAAAACGTGCAGCAGCTCCTTTATTGTCACCACTAATCAATGAGTTTGTACGGCTCATAGAAGTTCCGTGTGTTGCAAACCAATTGAAGCTTCCGATTGGGCCCCATTCATCATCGACAAACTTCAAAAGAGTCATTTCTTTATCAACATTGTACTTATATTTGCTCCGCTCTGTTGAAGGGTTGTTGAGATATGCACTAGGACTACGGTTTACACCAGCATCTATGAGCTCTCCTGTGGAATCATGATGGATGATTAGCATAGCTATAAAATAACAAACAAAAAGAAAAAAATCAGTTTTTGTGTGGATGTATAAAGAAGAAAAGAAAAAGAAAGATCAGATCTAGCCCACTTGGCAGGCTGGTTTGAATTACAACCCCAAAGACCTATTCTGCTTTGACACATTTTCCTTAGTCATAACATGACTCCGCAATAAAAGAATATCAAGCCATGACAAGGAGCAAACTTCTAGATCATAAAAAAAAATGAGATATTCTTCAGACAATGTATGAGAATGAATTCAAGAAAATGAGCACTCACCAAACAAAACAATGCAGAATTACTTCTAAGCATGTAAACGTTGTATGCAAAATTAAGAGATTTACTAAATTTGAAATATAAAGCTTTAGGCATTTCTTTTCATACTAGATATTCTGATGACATTAATAAAACACCAGAGTTCATAAGATTTTGTTGCTTTTAATATGCCTTATTTGTATTCTAAGTGTTGAATAATGGCTCTTTCCACGAGGGAAATACTCCTCAAAACAATGCAGAATTACTTCTAAGCATGTAAACGTTGGACGCAAAATTAAGAGATTTGCTAGATTTGAAATATAAAGCTTCAGGCATTTCTTTTCATACTAGATATTCTGATGACATTAATAAAACACCAGAGTTCATAAGACTTTGTTGCTTTTAATATGCCTTATCTGTATTGTAAGTGTTGAATAATGGCTCTTTCCACAAGGGAAATAGTCATCTATAGAGTCTCGGTTCATTCTGCGAACATGTCACATAAAAAGCCGCCTTCCTCTGAGCTAATCCCAAAAAATGATTAAAAACCTTCCACCAGGATTTGCCCTAGTCTCAGAGCTTATTCTAGGGTCATGTTTACATTTCATTCTTCCTGGGTTCAGATTCTCCGTTATTGGATTTCTTTGCCAGCATATGGTATGGTATGCAGGCCAGTAAATCATTTGATTGGCAGAGAGGAACCACATCAATCCATCCCGAACTAAGGGATTTTATGCAAAGCTAGATCTTAGTCCTGTTGAGGTGAGATGCAGATAACAGAGATTACATGAACTATAAATCATCTTCCTTACCTTTATTCACAAAAATTGACCCTGGGCGAAGATTCTCGTGAGCTTGTACGATGCTTTTCTCAATTCCATCAACAACGGCATCAAATGATTGGCGTACAAATCCAAGAGATGTTACAAGATATATCACATATTGGAGATAACCACCAGGCCCAGCATGAGTATGAGTGCCACTGATAGCAACATTATGTTCACTATAAAGGTCTCCATACCTTCAAAGAAAGGAATAATAAGTATTAGTTAGCTAGAATTTGGGGCACTCTAAAATTGTAAAATTCAATCCCAAATTTGAAACCATCCAGTAGGTGAATCAGCATGGAATACCGAATTCAATTACCTAAAGATGAATCACTATGGAATATCGAAAAGATTATTAAACACCTTTCAGATATTGAAAAGGTTTTGCAGATCCAGATAGACTTCTTCTATTCTGTCTTAGTTACACACAAAGGAAAAATCATACATGTCACCAAAAACGTAATATGAGATTTATCTACCTTGCTTTTAGTTTTTCAAGAACTTTAATCGTAACAAGCTGCGAGGCCATGCAGGCATCAAGATTCACAAACACTATGCGGTTTCCTTGAGGTTCTGCAACAATAAACGTACGAGCTCGCAACCTGAAGTGAACTCCGGAAGTGGTTTGTTCCATATTTGCGTATCCCATCATATTGACATCTGCCGCAGGTCCTGTTATGTCATAGCTTCCAAGGCCAATCAAGTAAGTGGATGCTGATAGTGGTTTCCCACAGTTAAGTATCATAATGCATACTAGGAAGCCCCACAACCACATAGTTGTCAATGATCTTCGCCCCACAAAGCCAGATAACAGGGAAAACATCACCATAATGCCCCTGCAAAAAAAGGGCTATCCCTCATACAATTATCTCCATCCTTTGCCAAAGAAAAAGACAATCCATGTGAGCACTTGTTAAGCTTTTGTCAATTGAGAACAAGATGACATTTTTTGAGGGTATAATAGTAATGATATGGATGAGAATTATTTACCTTTGTGAGTAAAACTGAAGCTACATATTAATTAGAACCATTCTTGCACACCCTTTATTGAAGTCCTTTGCATTGAAAATTAGAAACTAACTGAAAGCTCCAAAAGAAAAATAGCAGAGTCAGGTTTCACATTCAGGCATTCTATGATCAGAAACCTTATGCATATGAATCTATTCTAAAGGAAAGAACAAAGAGGAGGCATTTCCCCTCGGAAGAGAAAGTCTGGACTTGTATGAAACAACTTGACTAGATTAACAGAGTCTTAACCCATGTACTAGTAAGCTAAAACTACACATCGGAAGACAAAAAACCAACAAAAGGTCCCAATTAATCAGTTTGTCAACTTATAATCCAAATCCAACTTGAAATCATTTTACATGCAGAAATATTCAATGAGATTCTGAAACTAAAAATTCCAAATATCCAATAACAAATCTAATGAGTTCAGATATAAATAGCAAATTTGACACTAGGCTAATCCAATAAATATCTGAATCTTGTTCAGTTTAATACATCTTTAACTGAACAGACCTTTCAAATCACCAAATCATATCAGAAATTAGCTTATTCCTGTTGATTAAATGCAACATACTATTAATTCACTGCCAAAAAAATCAATCAATCACCACTTATACAATGATTTCAAGGAAAATCAGACCCAACTGATACACATATCATGAAACCTTGAGTGAAATACTCGACTCGAAATGCTCAGAGTTGATGAACAAATTGAAAATTTAAGCGACTCATAACCATTCTATGAGTGAAAATTTGGTTAAAAATTTGATCTTTGGTGTGCCAAATCGTTTCGAAAAATTCTAAATTTATCCTAATAACCTGTTTTAAACATTTTTAATGAAAGAAAATCATTTCCAATCTTTACTCTTTTCAAAACCTCACCAAACACGAGTAAAAATATAACTTTCTCTCTTGATTTGATATAAGTTTGATAAAACCATTGGAGCTCACTTTTTTTAGCTCTTTGTTCATCAAATTTGAATTTAACAAAAGAATCGATGAAATTAGAGATGCTCCAACTCTTTCTGTGCAGCAGCACAAAGAAAGAAGTTTTAATAAATTCAATCAACATCAAGAACATAGTAACAACATAGTAAGTGAAGAGGTACCTTCGTAGTTAAGGAATTCTCGATTCCGATACAGAATTCTCAACCTGAATTGGCTTCCTAGTGACGAATTACGATACATATACACATATAATTTAGTTGTCTGTAACTGTATATATAATATGTGTATACAAATCAGCAAAACCCTAACTTGTTAGAAAGAGTGACGTGAATGGAAAGAAAAAGAGAGAGTGTATGCGTACATAATCACTGTGGCTGTTGGCATTTCTCTATAGCATTAATGACTTCCATCATGATTTTCCAGAAAATAGTAAATAATTTTTTTCTATTTTATTTTAATTTTTTAGGCATTGTAAAAAATAACATAACATATTAAGTTCATCATGAATTTCATTTTATTGATTTGATTTATGGGTTTAGTTTATCTCAAATTTCCTTTCACGAGTCACATTTTGATAATATAAATTATTTATTTTGTAAAACCTTTAGTATATATATCATTTATAAAAAAAAAAAGTTCGATTTAAGAATCATAACTTTTTATTTTATTGTATTTGTTTTTATACAAATAAAAGATAAATATATTTTTTAAAATAGACAATTCAAAATTTTTTCAAAATTTTCGAGTTGATCCCAAAAGAGTTTTTGTCAAATGAGTTTGAATAATTTGATATTTTTATATACTTTTAAGATTATCGAATCGAACTAAATGTAATTGATTGTTTAAATTTAATTTGAAAAATTTAACGATCACCAAAATGTGTTTAAAATAGACTTGTTCACTTATTAAACCAAGCTCGAATGAGATTTTAATGAGTTAAATATGAGTTTAGCCCAAACTATTATCACCATTATTATATTCAACATAATGACTTGAAATGGATTTAAGAGGTGATGAAAAAATAAGTTGTTTGAGAAAGTGTGATTAATTCAACTGAATTTGTTGACAATTGATCATCATATAGACGTTGTGATAACTTGGATAAATTGGATAAAGATTGATAAATTATTAAAATTGTTTAAATTTCACCAAAAATTAAACAAACTTGCCAGAAAAAAAAAAAAATTCTTCAAATTTGACTTTCAAACCATACCAACCATTCAAACCCCCCCCCCCCCCTTTTTTTATAGTATTTTAAACAACACAAAATGAATTTAAAATTGGAATTGGGTGGTGTTTTTAAAATAATAATAATAAAATTAGCCTTCACCCTTTGTATCACTTTCTTATTGGCACAGTGCGCGTCTGTCGGCCAGAATTGCCCAATACATCACAATACTCACAGAACAAATCACCAAAAATAAAAATAAAAATAAAAATAAAAATTCATATAACATAAATTATACCGAGTTAAGATTTTCTTCTTTTTTTTAAAAAAAAAAAGAAAAGTAAAATCTAAAATTTTAGCATAATTATATTGAGCTCTTTTAAGGTTTAGACTCGTATAAAAGTTTGCTTACTTTTTTGTCACAAATTTGTTAGTTATATAAATAAATAAATAAAAATAATATCGTCATCTCTTTTATATTTAAATGTATATTTTATTTTATATTTTTATATTTTCATATTATTTGCATTAATTTTATCCTCTTTAACCTTACTAAAAGAGAAATTAGTATAACTATATTAAAATTATAAAATTTATTATATTTATTTTTAAAACTCGAGAAGCAAGTATAATTTATCATTTTTTTTTTTTAACAAAGATGAGATGTATATATATTAATAAATTATCCTAAAAAATACATGGTATGTGCTCTTCTAGATAGTGTTGCTTTTTCCAAATTTTCTTGGGATACTACTTTAGGCGAAAATAGTTATATTGGATAAAATTGATTATTTTAATTAAATAAGATAAAATGTTACATTCAATTTATAATCATTTCATTTTTTCTCTTATAAAAGTCAAAAAAATCAAAAAAATCTACGTCAAACGAAACTTTTTAACTCCAAACTAAAATAATCAAAAGTCAACCCACAACCCAAACAAAAGCTTAAAGATTGTTTGAGATGACCTAAATAAGTGTACTTTTTATCTTTTTATAAAAAAATGTGCAAAAAAATAAAAAGGTGATGTGATAAAAAAAAATTAAAAAGATAAATTATTTTTGAATTGCTAAACTTGGCCTTAATGTCAAAAGGGCATGATTACTGTAAGCTACGTGCCAGTTAGCCAGCCGCCTAATTGGGAAGAATCTGATTCATGTTCACCCATCTATGGCTAAGTGGGAAACTGAGAAATTTCAAACCTGCTGAATGGTTGCTATTACTGGTCGTTGGCCAGTGACACATGGAATGTTCTACATGCTATAATGTGGATGAATTTGTTGGGTGCTTTACAAGCCAATTTAGCCAATTCTACCAAGTACACCATTTCAGGCTTGATCTACTTTATAGTTGGATCTACTTTGAGGCGCTTGAGTTCCCACCAAGCACCTCAAAGCTGAAGAGGTGAATTGGATAAAACAGAAGGGTTCCCATAGGACCTGTTTGGTTCTGATGAATTTTGTTTGTAGAGGTAGTTGAAAAGCAAGCCAATAAAAAACAGTTGTGTTAAGACATTTGGTAACTTGTTGAAATGTTCTTGTTCACCTGTTGTTTTGTTAGCTTTTATAGAAGTTGTTTGGTAACACAACTAGTTTTCTTGAGTTGTTTTATGACAAATTACCTTGCAATAAGATGGGTTTTCCATGAAAATTTTCAATTGCAATCTGCATATACAAACACCAACCTCACCTCTGTAAACCAAAAATCTCTGTCAATTCATCAAACAATCAGCTCTTGTATTCTTTCAAGAGTACATTGGCAATGCTGTTGAAAACCTTTCAAACAATCTCCACAACTTAGATATATAAAAACAAGTTTGAGTCTTAAATGCTGTCGATTTCAAAACCACTAGAAACAATAGCTGGATCATCCCACAGACTTAGGTTCGGTTGTGTTTAGAACATAGATTTGAGCAGAGATATAAAAATGGAAAGGAAAATGTGAGGGAGACGGAAAAATTGAACTTATATTTCTTTCATATTTACCTTACCTTTATTTTCTTTTTCTAAATCTTTTCCCAAATTCATGATCCAAACACAGCCTTTAACATCACAGAGCTGCTAGATTGAACAAATTAGTTGCAATGCAAACTCAAACTTTTGAGGCTTGCAAAGCAGCTCCACGGCCATTTTCAGATAACCAGCTTCACAGAATTTACAGATTTGGGTGTTATAGGTATAGCTTGTATGTGACCTGATTTATGGTTTGGGCAAGAAACAAATGGTGCACCTGTTCCTTCCAGTGTTCTGTCATGAGCTCGATGGAGCTCCCCACTCTCATACCCCTTTAACGCTCCTACTGATTCATTGCTGCCTCAAACCACTCAACACTCAAGACACTGACTAGGTAGATTAACTAACTTTAACTGGACCCTAAACAAAGAGAATAGTTGGAATGAAGCACACATTGCCAACCAATAGATTAAAAGATTTAACTGTATCATCCACTTGTTAAATATACAACACTATCTAGGGACAAGCCCACTCACTGCTCAACCCCCACCCCCACCCCCTTGCCGTTCCACACGACCAAAGGCCATCCCTAGGTGAACACACACTCAGGCTCCATAATTGTCCATATCACATAGAATTCAACAATACTAATATCAGTTCCATTTAGTTCAATTATAATCTAGGGTCTTGTTAACGAATGCCCCAAGGCATTGGTTAATTAGAACACACACTTTGAAACTTGTTAACGGGCACAACTTAACAAAATCCTAACCAACAGGGGCTAGCCCAACTGGCTAAAATCCTTGAACCTCACTAGGAGGTCAAGAGTTAAAGTCCACCACCCATATTGAAAATATGGGATATTCTAGTAGTTGTACTATTTACAGCTCATAAGCTAGCTTATAATCCAACAGATAAACTAAGACTAAAGGTATATCATGTTACATCAAAGATGATGAAAATAAAAATATATATATTATAATTTGAAACACTTTAATTTCGCAAGTAGGAAAAGAGAGTAGCAACATCAAAAACTAACTACAAGCATCATCAGAGATGTTCCGTTGACTTTCGTAACTTAAAGCACCAATACCAAAATAACCAGCTAACATTTTCAGAGTACAAAATCTTTGAACTAGATTCAACAATTAGAAAAACCTGAAAACTCTGCTTCACTTAAAATGCCCTAATTGAGATTCTACCAGAACCAAGCACTGCAATGAGAAAAAACAACAATTATGTGAGAAACATATAACAAAAACCTTAATAGCTCAAAAAGACATACTGAAAAGATGAAGTAAATGATACTGATAAATTATCACCAGAAAAGCCCTCCCACCCCCAACCGAAATAAAAAATAACAGACGTGTGACAAGTTCGGAAGGTAAAGTAGACTGAAAAAATAATCAACTGGAGTCGAATCAAATCTTGATTCTTTCACCTAGTTTTTTTTTTTTTTTTCCCTCATTTTTTTTTTTTTTTTTTTTTTGGCAAGTGACTTGATTCTTTCACCTAGATTCAGAACGGCTGATCAAAATCCCTCAACTCAAATTATTTCCTTTATTTATTTTTTTGACGAAGATAGCACGAGGGATGCAAGAGAGAGTTTGAGTGAAACTGTTTTCTTTCTTGCTTTTATATATATATATATATAATAAAAATGATTAACAAATAACAGTGATGATACTAATATTAAAACAATTCAAGAGGAATACACTGTCAAAGAATAGAAACGGCACAAAAACTACAGGCCAAAGTAGTAAATGTTGGGATATGAAAGAAGCCCATGCCATGACCCCAAAAGTAGGACCTGGACTTGGTACGAATAGGGCAAAAAGTGATTTTTGCATATAATACTATAAGCTCCAAATGGTCAAACGAACAAACCATACTAGCGAATAAATCCTTATTTCACCATAAGGTTTAAATTAATTATACAGCCTGCATAAGTGACTAGAACTACATTAGCCACACATAGCCGAAGCTGTTCACTGGATCGTTCACGAGTTCATTAAAGTTCCAATCCTATTTGCATGTTCCAAAAACCAAATGGTACTAATGCAAACACTCACCACCCAAGAAAATTTTCATTTGGAAAATTTATTTTAGAATAACACAGAATATGACATAAGTTGGCCAACACTCATTATAAAATGAAAATTAACATGATGTTTAATTATAACCTTACAAGATTAATTAACTGCCTAAAAGCTTCAAATCCTGACAGAAAATGATTTGCAGTGCACATAGGAATTAACTACAAAATATAACCACATTATCAATCAATTAACTTCACAGGTAGCACCATCTACTCTAGAGTTCCATGTCCACAATATCATTAATGGAAAGCACCTAAAATGGCCTAAAAGCCTACTAATCATTTCAATCAACCGAACCAAATAGAGCACCGACAAACAAACAAACCAAACCCAGTATCCCATTTGAGAAAATAAATAAATTGAACCCAAAATTAAACAAAACAATTACAAGAAATAGTAATTGTACCTCAAATATTGCTAGGGTACATGAAAACCCTCACCCTAGCTCCCTGAGAAACAAAAACAATCAACATCAGCACACCTAACCCAGATAGATAAACAAATACTAACACAATAAGATTGAGCTGGTAAAGAAGAATACCATGGATCTAGGAGGGAGGTTGGACTTGAACTTGGCGCGAACAACACCACTGTTTCCATGAGGCCTAGAGACCTTTCCCCAAATGCAACGGTACTGAGAGCCGTTCTTCTTCACCTTAGCCTTGTAAATGTACGCCATTCGCTTCCCTCTGTACCAATCCACCTCTTCCTTCGTGTTCACTCCCTCGATCTGTATCAGAGACGTGTTTGGGTACTGGTTTGACTTCGACCTAAAAACACAATCCCATCCACCATATCAGCAATCAAACCCCCCAAATTCACCAAACCTCCACAACACATTCAAAAGCCACCTCTTTTTCCAAATTTTTTCTCCTCTGGACTTTCTTTGAATTCTTTTTCAATTTTTTTAATTTTTCCAATCGTTTCGTCGAGTTGAATCTAGAAGTAAAAAAAAAAAATTGAAAATTTTACAAAAAATTACTAAAGACGGAAAAAGAAAAAAAAAAACCACCAAGTAGGCAAATTCAAAGCTCTTGTTTACCTTTTGTACCCGAGAATCGTTCCTCGAACATAGAGTCTGTGTGAACAAATGCAATCAAATGAACAAAGATGAGATTTGAAGAAATGTTTGGATCAATTACGAATTTAATGAACGATTATGAAAATCAAATCTATATATATATAGAGAGAGAGAGAGAATCGGACCTGATACGTTCTCCTTGGCGACCCTTCACCATTGTTCTTCTCTGAGCTGCAAAACACAGTTGAGAGAGAGAAAGAGAGACGCAAAACCCTAATTCGAGAGTTTGGAGGCTTATATAGGTAGGTGATATATTGGATGAGGATACTAGGGTGTAGATATGGGATTTTTTATTTTTATTTATTTATTTATTTTTTCATTTTAACTTATAACTTTGAAATCTTACTATTAACTTCTCCAGTAGATATATTAATTTACGATTATAGTTTTAGATTTATTTATTTATTTATTTATTTTTAAAAAAAATTTAAATTGATTATAGATTATTATTATTATTATTTATGAGAAATATAGACAAGTAGTAAATAATAAAAAATAAAAATTAATTAAAAAAATTACTTCATAAATTATGTAACAAATACTATTCAGTAGCTTAAATTTATGATTTAATAGCTACACCAAATAAATTAACAATTTTTAATTAAAATCATAATCTATGATCTATTAAATTATAATTTATAACTTGACATGGGTAAGCCTATTAAGGATATGGCCCACCATTTAAGGCCCAATCCATGACTCAAATATTAAAACTCAATATTCTTGGAACTCGACGCTACACCAAGCGCCAATGACATCTAAACACCTAGAAAGTGCAGAACCAGCCATATCAGTAGACAAAGATCCTACAAAGTTATTGCACCACACATCAGCTATTAATGAGCTCCCCTGCAGTATTTATTACGATAACCCTTCACGTTGGAACATGACAGCTTCACCATGAACAAGGTAAGTTAGAACATAGACTTTCGGCCAACATGACGGCTCGGAGTGGATAAGGAAATGATGAGCAAAAGATGTAAGCAGGCCTCTAAGACGAAGAAAATGTTAAGTTCTCTATCACCATTCTATCTCTACATTCCATCATCCTCTCCCTTCTCTAACTTGATCGTCAGAGGGTTCGCTAGGGGACTCCCCGTTGCCCGTTGAACTCTTGTGCAGGTCTCTCTGCGAGCTCAATGCTCAGGCAACAATTTGAGAAGCGTAGATCAATCCGACCCGTTCCATCTGGAACACTCAGTATCATCAGTTGGCGCCGTCTGTGGAAAACCTTTTGCTCCGTGCGGCAACTGTGCTCATTGTCGCTGGAGACCCATTCTCGATATTCCTACCTGCCACCCACCAAGGTGGATGGTCATAACTAGATCCATGGCTTCTCAACACACTGTTGCCAACCCCCAAGCCGACCCTCCTAACCCAAACAACCCCCCGCAGTATTTTACAGAACTCACCAACAGCATCAACCGCTTAGCCGAGCAAAACCAAGGCCTAATCAATGCTTTGCTTCAAAGAGACCTTCCCATACCTCCTTCACCACCTCAAGATATCCTACCCAACCGAGAACGAGCCCCGAGCCACCCTATCTAATAATCCACCTATCTGTACCAATCCACCTCTTCCTTCGTGTTCACTCCCTCGATCTGTATCAGAGAAAATGGTTTTCAAAAGAATTGCTGGTCTCCCACCATCCTACCACCTTCCAAACAATAAAAATAGGGTCCATACCAAAAATGAACCCTAACCGATTGAAAACGAGGGTTCGGGGGCCAAAACACGCGGCCTGGGGCCTCGAAAACAGGCTGTTAGGTACCGGAAGTGGCGTGCGACCACGAAGGTGGTCCCTCGGGCCACAGTGTCCCTCAAAAGAGAGGTAACAAGGTCTGTGCCAAAAATCGGAGCAAACAGATGTAGTTAAGCGGTCCCAAATCGAGGCACACGGTCGACGGCTCCGAAAACCGAAAACTAGTCTCCAAACGGGAAAAATGGCCTATGACCACGAAACGTAGCCTACGGCCACTGAGAGATGGTCTACGAGACCTCTCCCTCCCTTCGAGAAGAGAAAATAGAGAAAACAGGACCTGATTCGCAAACCGAGACAAAGCACAAAAGAGCCCCGAAGTCCGGAGGCAAGGCTCTCAGCCGAGACTCCGCAATCTCAGAACAAGCACAATATACATCATCACCGAGTGCTCAATCGGTGACGTCTGAGTCTTAAGGCTGGTCAAAAAATGGGGTGTCTACAGTTGCCCCTCTTTGACAGAACTCGGAAGTCATAAATGACGGGAGTGAATGTCAAAGCCTAGAGACGACCCATTTTTGACAAGGCCGAAGACTTAGACAAACAAGCGAGATAAACAAAGATGTGCCTGTAGGCATGCCCGCAGGCGGGGGCAAAATGCAGAATGAAATGCACCAAGCCGGACGTAACTCATGATCATGCAAAGCAGCAAGCTGTAATGAGGCAAGTATTTACAATAGATGCAACAGTTTTAAGCAAGAATGCAAAGCAACAACTACATTTCATGCAGTTTAAGAATGCGGAGAATTATTCAATTCTCGCCACGTCTCACACGGAGAAGATACAATACCTGCGCGGCTCGTCTGGTCGCACCAGCCTCAAATGAACCATACATACAATATCGTGCCTGTAAAAGAGAGAAACTTAACAAGCACAACATAGTTAGCAACATATGTTCAACATTATGTTGAACGCAAACGAACATGGTGCCGATGAGAGAGTGCATCGCAATGCAAGAAGAAACGTGCGTGACAACGCAAGTTAAGCATGGAGGCATGACAATACCAATGAAACGTGCACAACAATGCAAGTGGTGTGCATGAGAATGCAAGTGACGTGCATAACAATGCAGAATAAGTACAACTTCGAATGCACATTTGACACAAAACAACGGGCAAAGAAATGCAAGTTTCGACGAGGGCGACTCAATCGCGGCCTCCGATTTACCTCCCGGAAGGGTCACAACATATTCAAAAAGGACACATCTCGCTCTTGATGAGTAACGATGAAACACGCATCGAAAGTTGGAGTTGAAGTTCCCACGGAGGGATTTCGCGACGAAAAGTGCACTTTCTTTGTACTTTCTCGAGTGCCGGAGGCTCCGATCACTACCAAAATTTGCAGGGAGTTCAAAGAGACCTTGGAGACCCCCTTAGGAACACCACCGACCAGGTTTGGAGGCTATTGGAGGCCATCAACCAGGTTTTGGTAAAGGGGGGTGGTCGGCCTACCAGAAAAGGTGGTCGGCCGACCACCTAGCCCAAATCCGGGGCTGTTTGGTACTTTTCACACTTGTTTCTTTAAATACACTCGGCCAAAGCTCTTTTGCTCACAACTCCAAGTCCAAAATCAGTCCCTCTCCCTCTCTAGAGCATTTTCCTTCTCAGATCTGCGCTCTATACGCGTTTTCCAACGCCCCACACAAAGTTGTTTCGCAAAATCTTTCAGTTTTCTTCACTTTGAATCGATTAGATTTTGATTTCGGAGCTCTTCCCCTCATTTTCACCACTTGAGGTAATTTTGTCTCAATATTTAGAAGATTTTCTCGGGAGTTGACTGTTGTTGACTTTTGTATTTCCCGGGAGTTGACTTTTGTTGACTTTTTCCAATTTTGGCTCATTTTGCTCATTTTTACAGATTTCTTGAGATGTCGGGTCATTTCTCCTATGGCAGAGGTCCTCCCGGTGCCGGAGGTGATCCAGACATCATGTCCTTACCCCTGAGGATTTGGCCATTCGATCCCGAGAGGTATCACCCTCAGGAGCATATCCTTTCCTGGGCCGTTTTCTACCATTTTACCAATTTTGATGATCGAGCACCCGTGGATCTGCTATTATGGGAGCCGGAGTCCCACCTCTCTCATCAGGCACGGGAGGTATGCACCTCATTTTTACGTTTTCCGTAATGTATTATGCATTTTCTATGCATTTCATGCTTTCGCTATGTTTATCTGCTCATTCTAGCACACAGCTTGTTCTGAACACTTAGTCTATAACACAGTATTCCGTTTGCATCTTGAACACACAACTCAATCACTTGAATTTCTGAACGCGCAGCCCGCATATTGATTGTGAACACACAACACACACTTGTTGAGAGTTGAACACACAGCCCAAACTTTGAATTTCTGAAGTCTGAACATGCAGCCCAAACACTTGATGTTGAACACACAGCTCGAACTTTGAGATGAACACACAGCCCAATTTTGAAATCTGAACACACAGCTCAAACATTTGACGTTGAACACACGGCTCGAACTTTGAGATGAACACACAGCCCAATTTTGAAATCTGAAAACACAGCTCAAACACTTGACGTTGAACACACAGCTCGAACTTTGAGATGAACACACAGCCCACTGATTTTGAAATCTGAACACATAGCTCAAATACTTGACGTTGAACACACGGCTCGAACTTTGAAATCTGAACACACAGCCCATTCTTTTAGATGAACACACAGCCCACACTTGTTGAAAGTCGAACACGCAGCCCAAACTCTGAGTTTCTGAACACGCCGCCCAAATTTGAGGTGAACACACAGGCCGCACTTGTATTTGTACACAGCTCACAGCATTGTATTTGATTTGGTTTTCACACAGCTCGTACATTTCATTTGCACGTAGCTTATTCCTTTCATTCTGAAACTGAATACATGTGTTCATTATGAATGCAGGTGTCTTCCCGTGTTACACGAGGATATGGCTCCATCGTTGTGAGGGACTGGTACACAGAGCTCTCGGAGGCCGTTCGTGATTGGGTTGACCAGGCAGGGTTCGGACCCTTTTGCATGGGGATATCTCGTTATCCTGCTAGCAGGACATTGATGGGGGCTCTTGTAGAGAGATGGTGGGACACCACCAACTCCTTCCATTTCTCAGCCACCGGGGACATGACTATGACCCCGTTCGACTTTGCTGTATTGACAGGCCTTGACGTGGGAGACTAGGCGATATCTTATGATGAGGATATGGGCGAGTGGGAAGCCGCTTGGATCTATCTATTAGGAGCTTGCCCACCGGTTGACAGAGCATCGGACAAGGTCCGGTACACTAGGTTCCCCACACATTTCAGGGGGACTGAGCCCGAGACTCCCGAGGAGACAGCGCAGTACACTCGAGGTTTTTTTATATTCCTCCTCGGGACCACTCTGTTCTCCGATAGGGGGAACACCATCAGACTCTATCTGCTACGTGCCCTGGTAGGCCTATCATAGGTCAATCGGTATGACTGGGGTGGCGCCGGCTTAGCTACCCTCTATTGCTACATGAGC